GCGAGGAGGTGGGCGATCCCGCCGTGGAGCTCCCGAGGCGGCCGACGGAGCAGCGGGAGGAACCCCTCGATCAGCCCCCCGGCGCGCGCGAGGACGAGGCGGAATAACCGACCCCCCGCTTCCCCCTTCCTTTCCCCCTCGCCAACCTCGGCCGGGTGGACCGCTAGCATCAACTCCACACAACCCGTCAACGCGGCGAGCTGGGCGTGCGCGAGTTCGTCGTTCAGACGGGCCCCCGTTTCCCCTCCGCGGCGCTCCCCACGGAGGCCGCCGACGAAGCTGTCGAGGAGCGCCTGCAGGAGGTCCCCCTCCTCCAACACCGCCGCGATGGAGAGGTGGGTGAGCAGCAGCCGGCTGAGGACCTCACAGCCCTCCATCGCGACGAGGGCGTTGGGGTGGGTGATTTTCGCCTTCAGCTCGGCGAAGAAGGCGAGCCATTTGGATCGCGCAAAGGACGGCGACGGGAACGGCATCCACACAACGGCCCCCTCGTGAGATGATGGGCGTGAAAAAAAAAAAACCTTGGGGATCGTCTCCGTCACGCGCGGGATGGGGGGAGCGCGATGGATCTCAACGACCGGTTCGTTAAAGGGTTCGGTCGTGCGGAAAGCAAAAGTGGTGGGGGAAAAATAAAAAATAAAAAAGGAGTCTATGAAAATAGCAGTATAGTACTTGTTGGATCGGAAAAATCGGTGTCTATGAGTTAATAACGACACAAGAAGAAGCAAAAAATGGCTACCGTAGTTGTTCTATCCTTGACGCTTTGAAGGGATGACTTTGTCTTCGCCTCCCAGTGCGTAGCAAATCACAAGCGAATTCTATTCAAGAAAACGAATGAGAAGAGGGGGGGGGAGGGGGTCATTATTAGATCCTTTTACGACGTCCAAAGGAACAGTCTAGAAATTCATTCGAATCCTGAGACCCTACAGAGACATGGTAGCCTCTCTAAAATGCTATTTAAACGTGATTTGCTCATGTTTAAGATGATCGTGTGTCACTTTCACACAATTTATGAGGCAAAACTCAGGAGGAAGTTTCCTTCCGTGATAATTTACTTTGATAGAGCGTCGAATCGACGCTTACGGTCCCGAGGGACCTCCTTTACCATTTCCACCGCATCCGCACCACTTTTGTAGTAGCCATATAGGAATCGCCGCTCAACAAATCCGAGCCTCTTGTAGAACAATCTCATTCCCTCTTCATCACTTCCCCCACTTGGTGCACGGGGCGAACTCTCAGACGCGCGTTGAATCCCACCCTCAAATGACTGGGCGGCATTCCCGTCGTTCATTTCAGGAGGTTTCTCCGCAAGCGGTTGCGGTTGGGGAGGGATGGCGTGGGAAGAAACGACGCGTGGGGGGAGGATCGTATGGAGCCGCCACCGCACAATCACCCGCGCTCGTGGCGAATCTCCTCTCTCTTCCTCGTCGCCTCCTTTTCGGGTTTTTCGTAAACCCCTCCCGCCCACTGCGGCGGTTTCCCGCAGGGCGAGGCACTCCACGAGAAGCCGCCTCGCCACCCCCCGCCGGCGATGCGCAGGCGCGACGAGCACCACCTGCACGTACCCCTCCACCTCCCCTTCTCCTTTCCCCCCTCCCAACCCCACCCAAACCACGCCTACCACCCCAATCACCTTCAACCCCCCCTGCTCCCCAGCGGAAAGGACCCCACCCACACCAGAAGAAACGTTTCGGTCAGATGAAGAAACCCCACTGGTGGCGTTCGGGATTGGTTCGGGGAGGAAAGCCACCCAATAGCTGTGGATCTGCTCGAGCTGGGCGCGGGAGCAGCGGGGGTAAGGGCTGAAATCCCACCCTGTCGCGAGGAGCTCCGTGATCGCGTGGTAGCTCGGCGGCGAGATCGCACGCGAGGCAGAGCCTTCCCGTCGTTCAGATGAATCGGCGGTGCCGTTTTTGTTGATCTGAGCGATGAAGATCATCGTGGAGGCCATCGCGGGGTGTGAAGACGGTTCGAAGGCGCGCCGTAGGCTGCGTCGGGTCACCCTACTCTAGAAGCCACACACCTCGAACCCAGGGAAAAAGTCAAAAATAAGGGTAAGAGTGAAGGTAGAGAGTGGAATAGTTCACAAAGGCCTGCTATTCGTATCAACGTAGAGCCGCGTCATACGTAAGCTTTTTTTCCATATTTATTTAGTTAGTGTTACAACAAAAAATTGTTCCTATAAAAGATCTCTCTCATATAGTTTATCGCTAGCCAAAAGGCTTGATATAATCCGCGCTCTCTAATAAAGGGTAACGATCTTTAAAATGAAATTAAAACATTCACAAAAAAAAGTAACATAAAGTAGTCAAGTACTAAATTTCGATGCATTTCTCTAAATTCGTTTTTTTGCTTCATATAAAACGGAAACCTATCTTGTGCTTTGAAAACTGTACCCCCCCCCTCTCCCCAGCACAAGTAATCCATTGTTTCTACCCCCTCAAAGGAAACGTGGTAAACGAAAAAAAATAAATAACACGTGGTGTTGTGGGTTGAATCGTACACCTTCCGTGCTACTATAGAGGCTCCACAAGCACCTCCGCCTTTGGGTGGAGCAGCGCCTCAATCGAGTGCGTTACCCGCAACTCACGGGAACTCATCGAGCCCTTTTCCCCCCCGCAGCGCTCGTACGTCGCGCCGACTAGATCCTGCAAAACCGACATCGCCTTCCCCACCGCCACGTGGATGGGAAAGCTGTGCTGAAAGATGAGAAGCGAGGCCGCGAAGATGTCGCCCGTGCCTGTGTAATGCCCACCAAAATGGCGGAAAGTCCCGCTGTAAAGCCGTGGTGGGAGAAGCAGCCTACCATCTTTCGGATCGCGATCCGCGATGGAAACCAAAAACCGCATCCGCGACGGATCCTCCGCATCCGGGAAGGATTTAATCACGACGCAAGGGGTGCCCTTCGCGTGAAACCACTCCGCGGCGGCCTTCGCGGTGGTTAAGTCCTTCACGTCGATCCCGCTGAGGACGGAGGCCTCGAAGTAGTTCGGCGTCACAATGTCCACCACGTGGAGGATCCCGCGGTAGGCCTCCACGACATCATTTTTCACGTACAACGCGCCGTTATCGCCCAAGACGGGATCGCAGATGTAAAAGACCTCGCTCAACCCTTCCTTCTGGCGACACTCCCGGATCTCATTGACGGTGTTCCCCAGATGACTGACGATCTCCTTGTTGTTGATGTACCCCGTGAGAATATAGTGGTAGTGCTTCAAGAAGTCGTTCGCACGAAGCCCATCCATCAAGGTGAGGTACTCGTCCATGCTCATGCGGTGCCCTCGAATGATGGGGTAGCCGCTGTGGTTGGAGAGGCTGACGGTATTCACCGGATCCACATCAAAGCCGTGCACCTGAAGTGGAAAAACCGCCGCCTTGTTGCCCACGTAGCCATGGGTGACGTGGGATTGGATCGAAAGCACCGTTTTATCGCACTCCATCGTCCAAAAATCAAGCAAATGGGGAAAGTATGGTGATAAAAAATACTGCCAAAAAGTGGTTTTTATATATTATCGGAATCAAATTTTGCGTTGCTGTTAAGTGTGAAAACAGCCAAGGGCAACCGATGAGCAAATAGAAATAAAAATTCCAAAAGGGAAACCTAGTTAGTTTTGGGTTATAACCAACTGTCGTAATTTAATATATTTTGTTAAACCTTGCCAAACACTAATTGAATACAAATCGAACACAACGGAAAAAAATCTAGAATATGGATAAAAAGGTTCTATGTCTTGTAAGAAATACAAAGCGAGAGATACGGCCGCCCTAATCTTCACAGCCATCAGCTAGTAATAATGGCATGGATTTCACTTTTTTATAATCGGGGTGTATAATATAACATGGATCTGCCGTGCGTTGTGGCAAATACTATGAGAATGCATTCCTTTTTTTTTGCGCAGACATTACATTCTAAACGGTATTCCACTCTCTATTAAACAACAAAAATAATAAGCTAATCTTCGTTTTACATGTGTCGTGTGAAGCCCCACTCTTCAAAATCCTCTCTCCTTAAGGAAATTCCCATTAATTTGGCTTCTTAGGATCGATCCCCTGTTCTATATTCGAGCACACTAACTACTACATGTAGTTAAGTATTTCACACAAGGTACGTCATGTGCACATCCAATATATATATATATATAAGGGAGCTCACTTAAGGGCAAAAAGGGACTTCCCCCAGCTAGGCAGCTTCCATGTGGTTTGGAGAATACTAAGAAACACCGCGTCGTCTTCGATGATCGCACTAAGCCCATTGTAGTAATCCAGAAACTCCGCATACGGTACCATCCCGTACTCCTTCTGATTTTGATCCCACAAAGCCAGAAACCCTTTCAAAAGGCCCTCCGCGGTGAAAAAGCCATCCCGCACCACCACCGGGTGCTCCTGTGCGTTAAACCGAGCCTGAATATCCAAAATTGCGATCTGCCCGTCTCGATCAAAATCAAGCTGGCAGAACACATCCCACACCGCCTTCTTGCGCACCTCGTTCATCGTGCCGCGGATGTAATCCATGAAAACGTCGTAGTCAACCCCTCGCGATTCACCCCGCTCGTCGAGCTCGTCGTGCGGAAAGGCGTTGTAGATCACCTCGGCGATGCTGCGAACATCCTCCCGCGCTTGCGTGGTGCTCGAGAGCGCCGACGCCGCCCAGGAGGCGCGGGAAGCCGAAAACGGATTCGCGCCGAACGCCCGGGAATCGCGAACGAGGGTTTCGATCCCCGCGAGCCCCATCCACCGCCGGCCATCCGCGTCGACCTCGCGAAACGGCCTCCCCATCGCCTTAATCCCGATCTCCGGGATGCCTCCCCCGGCGTGCGCGATGTAGGCCTCACGGAGCTGCCGAAGCAGCTGTTGAACCTCCTCGGGGGGCGCCACGGGAAGACGTCGGCCGGTGGAGATGAGCATCGTCGACGAGGTCGTTTCGGGGTGGCGTTGCCGCCCGGTTCGAGTCCGCAACTCCGCATCCTCCACACGAACAATTTTGAAACGTTTCACATCGTCATCCCGCTGGTTGCGGGGGGGCCCGATGACGAGGACGTTTCCGACCTGAAAGTCATCCGTGAGGTAGGTTTCACCCTTTTCGTTGGTGTAAACATCGAGGGGAAAGGCGGGGAAGTGCCGCAAGGTCGTGTAGCCCATGTTCCCGATGATCGAGCGAACCTCCTCGAGATAAAAGGCATGCCAACGGGGGTAGTAAACGCCAAAAAAATACCGCTGAACATCCCCACGGAGATGAGAGAGCGCCTCGCAGTGAAAGCGGAGAAAATCGCCGCGCTCGATTCGAACCACCTCGCTGTAAAGCGAAGCATCCATGCGAACAGACATGCAGGCTCGTCTATTCGCCTTTCAGCTTTCTAACTATCTTGTCTTCCTGCCTCATCACAATATAAAATATTGGGGGAATAAATTATGAAATGTGTGTCGAACATTAAAAAAAAAATCACCCACAAACATCGATGTGGTGGTGTTGGGCACCATTTGAATGTCTTCCTACATTGTAGTACACTTATAAACATACTAAGGAAGCTTAATATGATTGCAATGTTATTTTTTTTTCGATCGCAAGTGGCGCTCACAGTTCAACATTATCTTTGTCTTTCCCAAACTGAGATCAACAGTAAGATGAGATTACATCTCAAGCTCATCATCAAAGGAAAAGGATTAAAACGCTATGGAAAATAGGGCACATTAAAACAAGAAAATGAAGCTGTTCAATGCACTTGAGAATGGTTAGAGATATTACAAAAATAGTCCACATACGCCGTTTATAATAAGGAAGAAAAATACCAAGAGCTAAGACTCCACTCGTCCAGACCGCAACAATTAAGATTCTAATGACTAAAAGAGCCCGCTAAAGACGCATCCCCTCATCGTCATCGACATACCCTTTCTTCTCTTTTTTATACTTTTGTTGCACGTATCCCCCCTTTTGTTCCTTCTTGACTACATCGCGTTGATATCTCCCCCCCCCCCCCCCTCCCTCCCGATTAGCTCCCTTTTGTCTACGTGGATTCACCACTGTAGTTTCGATACTTCACTTCCGAAACCACGCGTTCGGGCGCTCGGGTTGTTTTTTTCCTTTCCTCTCGGTACAACGCACATTATCGCGGGGAAGCGAAGGGAAGAGGATTTCCGAGTTCAGCGCGTTCAGAGCGTTATTGGATGGAGAGGATGGCGACGCGAGTATCTTCGGGGCCTCCGCCCCCCACGAGGATCTCTTGTTAGTCGCGTCGTCCGGCTTGTCCACCACACCTTGCATGAGCTTCAACTTGGTAGCCGCATTCATCCACCCGTCTTTCGTCTTGGATGAGTCTTTTGAAGGCTTCTTTAGGGTCGCCCGGGCGCCGGAGCTGATGTTATTCCACACCGCCAACGTACGCTTCGCCTCCTCCTTCTTTTTGGCCTCCTGCTCATCCTGCTCCTGCGCCCGAGCACGCCGCTGCAGCTCCGGCACCATCTTGATCTTCCATATCTCACATAGCACGCGCTTCTTCGAGAGGTTCGGCATCGTCGCCACTAGAAGCGGAAAGATCTCGTTGAAAACCTCAGTTTTGCGGAAAACCGACTCCGAGAGGGTGTTGTAATATTCAATGGCGTAGATCTTGGAGTCTACGAAGTCTTGCGTCAAGCTTTGGAACTGCGCGTAGCCGGCCGGGGAGGAGAGATGTTTGCTCACGAGCTCGTCCAACCGCCGTGTTTGCTCTTGAGGATCGGAAGGGATTTTATTTCGCTGCAGGTACGCCTCGACGCTCTCCGGCATGCTAAAGGCGCGGTTAAACTCCTTCCCCTCGTCTTGATTCCCCTGCGTCGGGCCAATATGCTCGGGTGAGGCGTCGTTGCGCACGCGGTTGGGTGGCCATTCGATGATCTTCAGTACCCTCGAGGAATGAAAATGAGCAGGGAGACCGTTTCCGACAGGGGCATGCACGCACGTCTTCCCCCCTCTTTCCCTCCCCCTGCCTCTGCGGCCTCGCCCGCGATCGTCCGTTCCCAGATGGCCGCGCCCCGCCATCAGCTCCACTGTTTCCTTGCGTAAGACGTGATCAAAAGTGATCTGCACCGCGTTCGTGTTCGATGCCGTCGAGGCGACGATCAAATTCCCACCAACGCCCTGCGAGGCGGCCCCGCCGCTGCGATCCTCCCCGGGCTCCAACATCGCCCCGAAGCTGGCTGGGGTAAAGGTGAGTTTGCTCTTCGCCCCGTGGACCCGCTTTTTGTGCAGCATCAACTCAAAGTCATCGGCGAAGACGCGAAGCATGAGGTCGCGGCTCACGCAATCCGGGTGCTCACACACCTTATGGCATTGCACGAAATGATGATCGAGTTTTTGGCGATTTTCAAAATACGTAAAGATGAACTGCCCGCGATTGCAGACATCACAGGTGTAGTGTTGATCCTGCATATGTCGAAGGAGGGCCTCGCCGTCATAAAGGCGAAACTCGCGCCGAGGACGCGAGCAGAAACGGCAGGGCGGATGCCCGATAAACGACGGGCTATCCGACGGGCAAATCCCCTCCATGTGTTGCCGCAACGCCGCCTCGCCGTACATGACTTGCTCACACAAGAAAACCGGACGGCTTTGCAGGCAAATCTCGCAGTACGACATCTTATGGTCGTACGCCAGATGATCCTTTAGGTCTCTTAACTCCAGAAAAGGATCCTGCACGCCATCCTCCCAGCAACCCTCGATCGGGCAAAGGTATTGGTAGAGCTTTTCCATCTCGTCGGCGAGCTCGCGGCTGTCGATAATGCATTTCAGACGTGAATTTCGCACGCCTGAGGCGCGGATGATGTTGAGCTCCTCGGTGGAGTAGTGATCCTCATCTTGACTGATCGTCCGCGTAAGAAACACCTCTTCGCTCCGAACACGGCAAACCGGGCAGCCGCCCCCGCCTAACACGTGAATGCGCAACCCACAGGAATAGCAGGCGTAATGCCCGCAGTTGAAGACGCAAATCACAGTGCAAGGCTCAACGCAGATAAAGCACTCAATGGCGTTCTTCACGCCATTGTTGCTAGACGAGTTTTGGTCATACGAAAGATATGCGTGGCTCCAGGGTTTGTTGTGCGACATTAAATACCAAATGTCAAGAACTATGCTCGAGCCGAAAAAAAAGACAAAAAAAAGTTAATGATACTTTAAATATTAAGAACTAACGTGGCTTACCGATTAGGCTTTTTGAGGGTATTTAACGATTTATTTATATGTGTAAGTAATTCCTCTGACAAATCCAAAACCACCCAAAAGAAAGCTAAAGGATCAGGCCCTAATTGTAAGCAATCAACCCAAAAGCAAGACAATTAATCGAAAGTTTAGCTCGCGTCAGAGTAACTGGTTATTTTGCGAGTGAAGTGTGAGGGAAAATAATTATCGGCTACCGTGCTATAGATAAGTAGGCAGATCATGTGAATACACGCAAAGAAAAAGAAGCAAAGAAGTTGACAAGAAAGTAAGAATCACGGAGAACATGATGAATATGGTTGCGTAGGGAATATAAGCTTTCTTCTTTATGTTAAAAATGTATAAGTATATATATATATGTGTGTGTGTGAAATTTTGCTCAACAATTCAAAAAAAAATGTCAAAAGCAAATTTTGGCATCAATAATAAATAGGAAGAACCAGCGTTGAAGACTAAAGCAACTCTGAACAGCGCTGGAAACCTCGCCTTGAGGAGGAAATACCCATCATCACCTTCAGGCAGCTTCAACTAGTTTCTCAGTAGAAACAAAAAAGAAAAACAATAGCGGTTAACTTCCAATAACGTCAGCGGAAAAAAAAGAACAGCATATGCACTTAAATCCCCACAAGCTGCTCTAATTGGTGTAATTCGACGCTGAATAAGTGTAATATGAATCTATGCTATGGCATGCCTTTCAGTTAGTTCTTGAATTTGAAGCTCGGCTAAACGGCCCTTTCATCACAACCCTTTTGTAATATCAAACGATGGCTTAGCAATTACCTTTGAGAACGTGCAAAGACAAAAAGAGAAGGTTAATGCTCCAATATTAGCACATGTTTTCTAAATAAAAGGCATGGTAAACACCTTTGCACGCGAAAGTGTAACTTGTTAGAAAGTCACCGCATCATTTTAATGGTTTATTTTTTTTCCCCAACCCTTAAAAGATACCCTCACGCTGTAAATAATAATAAGAGAGAATAGCATTAATCGACTCCATCATCGTATCCCGTCGCATACTGTTCTGTCCACATCTATCGAGTAGTTTTCTTTGAGGAAACAAAGAAAAGCTTCAGTATACTTCCTTCCCCCTCACCGCTTCCTGCTTTATTAAACACCGATGGGAAAGATGACGCCAACGTTATCGCTTCGAAGCAAAATTTTCCCTAGTTCGGTAGATTCATTCCGCCTGGTATTGATCTCCACAGCATTCCCAAGAACAACATTCATAAACTCGTCATATCCGAGCAAATTACCTTCAATCTTGGTTTGTGCGTTGTGCACAAGCCACACACAAACACGCTGCTTATCTTTCATGTACTGATACACCACATTAGCGGGGTTAATCATCTGCTTCATAACGGGTGCGCTCATTTTTTCGGGTGCTTGATGTGTATTTAGTAAGCCACTTTTTTTCTTAAAATGCAGGCGCTAATGAGTTTGGTTTTACCTTTTGGTAAGATTTTCCCAACAATCAAGGACCACACTCACAAATACGAAAAAAAAAGATCCAAGGAGTGAAAAGAGAGACAAGCTATAAAAGTGAAGAATAATGACGATGATACTAACAAAGTCCTACTTTACAATATTAAGGAAACGAATTTGGATAAAAAATGTGTAAACTTGTGTACGTGTATATACTACAGTGTCCCTTTAGCATCAATATAGTTTGTGAAACATTCTTTATATTAATCTTACACATAGCTCTCCTTATATATATATATATATATATCTGAGGACATATTTTTTGAAATTTAATCTATAGTTTCTAGAGCAATCCATAATTCACTGTATTGGGCATATTCCAAGGGTCAGATAAAGTATATACACAGTTCTATCGAAGCAGATTAATCAGTGATTTGCAGCACTTTTTGGTGCTTCCTTGATTATAAAATGCTAAAAATAGTAAGGGGCATCATGGAATAAAAAATATCGATGACCTTTGACAATTTCAAGATGACATGTGTGAAAGGATTTCATAAAAATACGGTTATGGATCCATATGTATATGTATATCCTCCCTTTTGAGAATTTTCTCTGATACACACAAGGCTAACCTTCCTTTGCTTTTTTGCTTTTGCCATGAAGTCCAAGTTCAATTACTAAAAGGATTGTTCTGATACTTTTCAACACCAGAAAAGGAAACGAGAAGAAAAGTTCCGTACAATACCGACAACGGAAAAATGGAAGGGAGAATAAAATTTTGTCGCTAAAAGTAATGCTACCGCGAAAACCAACATTACAGCTTCATTTTTTATTTCAACGGTGTAAGAGTATGTAAGATCGCCTGACAATTCTGTACATAATGTGGATCATATTGCCAAAAGTGCAGTTTTCCCTATGATTCTGATTATAATGTCATACATTCTCTAAAATACACAAGTGGTTTTCGATAAATAAAGCTTTTTTTTAGTAATGCAATGTAAAATAGTGAAACCATAATAATAATAACGATGGATAATTGGTTATTACGTCAATATATCCGCAGATGTTTCCCTTCATTATTTCACCTATGATCCGGTGGAAATCATTCAACATGATGAAAAAATACAGAGAAAAATACAAAGACATATATATATATATATATATGCATATACATACATACAAAGTCATAAACAGTCGTGTATCAAAAAAAAAAACGCAAGTGAATAGCAAAAACAGAGCTAAAATTTTTCGAGGCTAACTCTTACACACATCATTCATTAAATGTTTGCGATCGCGCTATGTCAACGATGATGAAGGCCTATTAAACATCCAGAGGGAGCTGTTTAACACTTTAAATCTCAAACTCTTTCGTTTCCACCTGCTGTCATCGTCACAGCCTGAAGGAGATGTTGTTGTTTGGCTCATTTTTTTCCCGTTTAAGGAGTGTTGGTGAAAGTAGAAGAGTTCGCAAATCAAAAAGAAAAAAGACATTCCAAAAATAAAATCCATCAATGTCTCCATATAAATATAAAGAGATGCATAGATCCAAAAGCAACGAGGAACGAAAGCGAAAAAAGAGGGAGGGAAAAAGGGGGAGAGGGAGTGAGGGAAGAAAAAAAGCTCATTCGTAAAACGCCATGTATACCTCCGATGAGCATCCACGCACCGTCTCCTCATCTACCACCGCCACGACGTCGTCATCGCAGCAAAACCACACGTCTGGCACCGATAAACTCCGCACGTACGCGATGAAGTGCCCGACATCGAGGGATCCATAGTGAGTGAGGATCCCCACGAGCCGCCGCACGAGCGTAGGGGTGCGCCGTGTGCCCTCCCCAAACGCATCAAACTGCGCGCTCGTCAGGGAAAGCAGCCGCTTCGGGCCCTTCCCCTCTTCTTCTCCTTCCCCTCTCCCTCCCCCCGCTTCTAAGAGATTGGAAAACGAAAACGACAGCGGCGAATGCACCGTCCGCGGTATGGTTGACGTGGACGACGCTGCAGGAGGCGTTCTCCCTCCCCCTCCCCCTCCTCTTCCTCCCGAAGATTTTCGCGCGGGAAGGCCGCAGGCAGCGCGCGTGGGGAAGAGCCCTTGCGTCCGTGAGATCCGGCGTTGATTGGCGTAAAGTTCCGCCACCTCCTGCCCGACGTACGGGTGGAGGTCGAGCTCCATCGTGATCTCCACTGGGGTGTTTACCTTTATAAAATCTCGCGCGGTGGAGTTGTAATGAAAACGCAGAAGATGCACCGCGAGGGTACCCCCGAGTCGCGTGATACTCCGCCGGACTTCGGCCTCGCGATACACACAACTCTCGACGACCTCCCGCCTTCCCAAAGGGGGTGAAAACGGCGGAAGTGATGGCGAGGAAAAGGGCGAAGAAGACGGCGGGGCAAGGGACCGCTTCTTCTGCTCACGCGCGAGTTTGTTATGCGCCTCCTTCTCCTCTAGTTGGAGGAGGTGGAAGCAGTACTCGCAGGCGTAGAGGTCTTTCCCGCGAAGGCGGGTGGGCGCGAGCGCCATCTTGATCCCTTCCGCGATACTCCGTTTTACTGGAATGGAAAGAAGCATGAACATCTCCTCGCGGGAGACCGTGTGATGGCAGCTCGAGCACACCACATCTGTCCGCGTCACCCCTTCGAAGCTGATGCGATTGGACTTTCGCTTTTCCTCGGCGCTCCGGCCCTTGTCAAACTCATCTGCGATGCCGTTTAGCAGGCAAAGCAGAAACTCCTGCGCATCTTGTTGTTCGTCTTGCTCGAAAAGTGAAGATATTTTGCAGATCTCGGTATACACCCGCCGCACGAGGTGGTAGGCGCTACCACTGCGAATATCCAATGAGGTTTGCATGTCGAGATGACGAATTAAGTTGTGCATCGCGGTGGTAAGGTCGCCAGGGCTTTGAGAGGGCGACATCCGCAGAAGGGGTCGGGTTAGGAAGACGCACCGCAGCACACACTGCAGAACGGCGTTGACATAGCAAAAATACCCCGGATTGACGAAACCGCTAATTTTCGCCCGCACCAGAAGCATCTCGAGTTCATCCCGGGAAAGGTGCGCATTCCGAACCGAATGGGTGGCCTCTCCGCCGCTGCCGTTGCGCGCCCTGGTCTCCCCCAAGTCGTTATAATAACTCGTCGTGTATTCGAGCATCTCGGTCGACTTCCGCGCCCGCTGCATCTTCGAGAGGGAAACCGGCAGCCGTTTCTCGGCCGTCGCGAAGGCGGCTCGCTTGCTGGAGGTCGAGGTCGACAGCTGGTGCGATCCGAAGGGGTCGGAAAAAACCAAACCCACCCGGCAATGCCGCAAATACGCCAACAACGCCATCAACTGGGATAACCGACGCATCACGCGGTGTTGGTGGTCTTCGTGGTTGTAGACGAGACCGGAAAGCTCGCACGGCGTGCTCGCACACCGCCAACACTGCACCTGCAGGCTCCATTGGCTTGTGGAGCTGTAATGAAACTGCGGTGAGGGGAGTTCGGGGTAGGAGCTGGAGTCCCCGCCGCCCTTGAGTTTATGGACCCCACCGGAGGCCGAGTTCACCAAGGGGAGGGTGCCGCAAAGCCCCTCACCTTTCTCCTCATGCATCGCCGCATCCGGGGAAGGAAAATCGCCTCGCGTGGGAAAGAGAAAAAAGTCATCGCGCGAGACCGAGGACCCGTTCCCTTGCATGCTCGCCATGTACGCCCGATCCAACTGCAACTTGACGTTGGAGTAGAACTCATAGCTCGACCGCGGGTTCGCCTCCCCGTTCTCAAATTCGCGAATAAAAGCGGTCGGGAAGACGTTGGGAAAGTCGGAGACGTCATCCAGGACATAACGGGAATTCTGCCGCGTCCCCACTTGCGGCGGGATCGCGACGAACACGCAGTGGTGAGAGCCAAACTGGTGGGATCGCTCGTCGGATGGCGCGGATCGTTTATGCTCCCCGGTTACCCCCGGCAAACGCCCCCGGCCGGAGTGTTGCATGTGCAGTTCCGTATGCCGTAAACAACAACACATCGCGCAGCTGGTGCACATAAAAAGCGCGTTGCTGACGCCCCCAAGGGAGCCACTTCGCGGCGTCGCGTAAGGCGTTTCCTCTTCGATGGAGACGAGGGGCCCGGCGAAATCGGCGGTCGCCGAGGGTTTCCCCAAACCCACGCATTCCACTGATAGGGTGGCGCCCGAAGGAGCCTCGCAACCATCCACGGAGGTACATTTTTCTTTTTTGTTAAAACGATTCGTGAATAGCTTCATCAGACTAAACTTGCTGGATTTGCTCTTTAATCGCGGCGTCGACTTGGTTGACTCAATCATCTTAGGGCATAAGACGGGAGATCTAGACTGCACAATATGGGAGCCTAGACTCCATTCCGACGTGTGTTCATCCTCGGCGGCACTGCAAAAGGCGCATACCGTCTTCAATTCCCCGTCCCTTTCGAGGACTTTCTTGTTCAGCCACTTCTCTGAGTATACTTGGGCAAGCTCATACAAGTTTATATTCCCCACACAGTCACATATTGAGGTATCCACCTTATGAAATTGCATCTAATGGTTTGCCTGTGTTTATGTCCGTCCTATCCTAATTTTATGTCTAGGCCTTCGATTGGTCGTGTTTGCTACTCTTTTTTCACTTATAGTATCCTATTAATTCTTCAATATGCGTATTTGCTATGGAACAGGGGAACCACAGGAAAGGGTCCCACTTTCTTCCCAACCCAAGGCGAATATTATGTAAGCCCTACACGAAGTACAAGGTTACAGGGAAATAAACTATTCCTACAAATATGAAGAACTCAATGAAGAAAATAAGCGCCTATAAGTCATAAAATCTCTTACGCTGCCTAAACCTAGGGAATAAAATGATAAGAATAATACTTGTTTGACCCTTCTTTTTAGTTCTTTTTGACTAAGTTTGAGAAAAAAATTACATACCAGTTCTGAATAAAAAAAGCAACACAAAAGAAATCATCGAACCCAAAGTAGGGCAACGTCCGATATGAATAGACAAGAATACAAAATGTTTGGCAAACGATGCGGTAATGAAACAAGGTTCACGTCGGTCTGTATGGTATGGATTCTCTCCCTAGCATCAGCCCGTGAACCGTCTAATCTATGTGAACAGCTCAGTATCTGAGTCGATGCGGCGTACAAGCAAAAAAAAAAATAGGTGCATGTGGAAAAGAAACAAAATCAACTGCCCTCCACAATAAAATAAACTCCGTTTATTATAAATATCTAAAAGAAGTTGCTTAGATGTAAATTCTCGTTCACATCATAGTTTACTATTTTTTATATGCTGAAGGGATTTCAGAAACTGCACCAGTCTTGCTTAGAGCTTTTTCCTCGGGTCAATTCATTCCCCTTTCTTCCGCCTGCCCCTCTACCCTACCTTCCCCAACACAGCCACCTTAGGAATAGATGTCAATTCCCTTAATATATGAATTTAGCAAAACCAACAGTTCAAACCCCGTCGGTATAATGGTGAAAAAGTAGAAGACATGCCATAAGCGCGCGACGTGTGCGGTGAAACGCCACGCCAAGATAAGCAGCACCCCTGCAGCGCCATCACACGCGCCCTGGAAAAAGTTGTCTAAGCCGTAGCGCAGCGTGCGGCCGGTTACGATCCCCCACATATTAAAGAATAAGCACAAAAAGCTGGTCGCGAGACAAAGATTTGTGGCGTTACAAAGGAAAACATAATCCGCGTGAAGATACTCATCCGGAAGGGAGCTCTCGATGATCATGCGCTTGCTACCTCTCGAAACGCAGATTAAAGCGGTGAAATGCACAACCCACATCGTGATTCGGAAGGGTATGAGAAATATCCCATTGAGGTTCAAAAATAAGGTGGGAAACACACCACATATCCTCCGGTAGGGGCGTCGCTCAACGTAATGAACCACCATTGGCCAACACAAAGAAATGCATCCTAGAAAAAAAGTCTAACATAAGTAATAATAGAAGAAGTGAAAAAGAAAAGCATGAAGTAATGAACTGCATTCCTAAAAATCAAAAGAACATACCATAAACGACACCTTTATGGGGGAAAGCAAGACAAATGAAACCCCACCTCCTCAGTTTTTTTTTAACAGCAAAACCCATCTAATTTGATGCACGTAAAAGATATCAATTCTATATCCAATGCATGCGATGGGAAAAGACTAGGATGGGCTGCTCTGCACCGCCTCGATCGCGGCCGCGAGCTGGGCGGGTAAAATCAGCGAGCGCGCGGCAAACCCCACCCCAACGCCCACACGCGAAGCATCGTCGGATGCCTTGGTGGCGAATCCCACGCAAGTCTGAAGTAAATCCGAGGCGGTTCGGCAGCAAGATGCCCCTCCACCGGCGGGTTCTCCCTTTTCCGGGATTTCGTCATCTGCGCGCGCGCGGGATCGCCCCGATGGCGAGGCCTCCCTCGCCTCCTCCCCCGATCGCGGCCGCTTTAAGCTCAACACCCGGGTTCGTGGCGAACCCTCCACGGGTCGCCTCTCCCCCGAGGTGGGATCCTTGCAGGATAAAAAACCCTCCCGCACGCGTTGCAGCGCATGAGCGAAGTCCAGGCTCTCCCGGGGGCCCCCACACCTCACGGCGGCCTCTCGCAGCCACCCACGCACGGCATCGGGGGGTTCAAAAAGGCGGCAAAAAAACCGCCGCCCCGTCAAGGTCGCGCCTCGCATGAAATACGCCGCGCGAAGCACCCGAATGGCGAGAATGCGCTGCAACGAAACCCCCTCCTCCTCCACCCCTGTTAACGCGCGAACCGCCTCGACCAGGCGATCCGCGGCGAACGCGCGGCGGAGCTCCTCGGAAGGGGTCGTCTCCCCCTTCCCCATCTCCTCCCGGACGAACTCTCGCAACAACACGGCGTAGCCACGACGAATCCCCGCCTCGAGGAAGGCCTCCCGATCCCCCTCCTCCGCCTCAAAAGGGAAGGATGCAAAAGAGAACGAACGGGGAAGGGAAGGCCGTTCAAAGACGATCGCGACCGCGGCGAGGTGGGTGAGGAGCCCCGTCCAATCCCCCCTCCCCTCCCCTTCCCTCGCG